GGTCATACAGGGATAGATCTGTTGCTGATTATGTTGGTTGGTGTAAGATCTTCCTATCCTTGCTTGAGTAAAGATTTACCAGGATCTGCTGTGGTTTTTCGCAATCTCGTCTATCATGAATGATGCTGGAATCTACTTTTTTTGCTTGCTAATATACAATCAGGGGCTATAGTCACTAATATGGATTATGTCAACATGTTAATACTAGAATGTCAATTCTGTTTATTTATTTATTTTTTTTAAATTAAATATTTATTAAATTTTTCATGTTAATACAAATACCCAAAAAGGGGAATAATTCTCATACAAATAGACATTTATAACATTTATACCTTTCCCCTACTAAAAACTCTTTTCTTTCCCATCCCACTACCCCCCCTTCCCGCCCCTCATCCCCCCTCCTCCCCCTCTGCAGACTCTAGCCCATTCTAATCTCTTGAGGCTTATTAATTTTTTACTAACATCCTAGTTCATATTTTCCTATATTTCTCTTTCAATCCTGCTCTTTCCCACTTTTCCCATCTCCTATAATAAACTCTCATGCTATCTTCCTGCATATGGTATGATCTTTCCATTCTACCTATCTGGTTTACTCTATTAATCCAGTCTTCCTCCTTTGGTACCTCAGATTTCTGCCAAAAACTTGGGTATCAACCCTTTCGCCGCATTCAAGAAGTACCATATACCTGAGTCTTTATATTTATTTACAGATATCTCCACATTGTGTAGGAGACACATCGTTGGGTCTAACCCTATGTCAATTTCAGTTATTTCTTCAATCAATTTGACTATTATCTTCCAAAAAGCCTGGATTTTCGGACATTCCCACCATATGTGAAACACCGTGCCTATCTCTCCACATCCTCTCCAACACATATTTGAATTTTCCCCATTCATCTTGTGCTCCACACTCGGTGTAATGTGCCATCGTGTCATACACTTATAATTAATCTCAACCTCTCTCATACTAACATTATCGTATATCAATCTAAACATCTTTCTCTGTTTATCCTCATCAAACCCAACTCCAACTCTAGAATACTAGAATTAATGCTAGAATGTCAATTCTGTTAATCATTTTATATAATATTAATTTTCTCATAAAAATATAAATGCTGCTTAAGTGTGGATTAGTTTTTTTTATGAAATCAACATTTGAAGTTGAACTGCAGGTAAGTAAAAAAAAAAATACTGTTATGCAGTTATGTATTTGTTAAAAAATATAATTTAAGTTCAATTAGTATAAATATTGTAAGTTTACTTGCCTTGAATCCCCTGTACAGCAGCACTCAGACTGGGAGAGGGAGCCAATAAGGTGTCCTGCATTCACATGCACTGACAGGGAAAATGCTTACAGAAGAGTACAACAGTACTGCCTTCCCTATGCTCTCACTACCCCTTTCACACATTTGATAGCTCCCTAGAATCACAGATTCCCTTTGTCCTTTTTTTCACCACTCTCTGATTTCCCTACAGCTGTTATAATAAATGGAAGGCATGCCAATTTACTTCTTTTTTTATAACCTTACCTCATCTTATCTCCTCCTTTTCCTCCAACTATGAATGTTTTCTGAAATGGTATCATGTTGAAATTGTATGTGAAATTTATGGTGTCTGCTGTTGGATTCATGAAGGTTCTTTTTACTGCATTACTTATGTGTATACTTTCCGCTACTTTTCAGCAAAGCAAGGTAATTAAATGCCCTGTAGTATATTATTGTGCTTTTACTAACAGGAATGTTGCATATACAAACTGCTTGCCGTTGAAGGGGGACAATACAGGACACACAAAATTTCCTAAACATGTATAAACGCACATTAATTAGCCTTTCCAAACAAATGGAACTTTGCCAATAATTAGCTTAATAGCCAATTACTTAGCCAATAGTTGCCAATCGCTTAGCTTCTGTTATAGCTGGTCCACAATTTCCTCCTTAAACAGGACTTCAGGTATTATGAATTTGAAGGAAAGCTGTATGTTGATCTTGATCTCTTGTAGTGTAGATTTAGGTGTCCGTTTATGACACAGAGAATAGCTGCGATTCAGAGGATCGCAGCTATTCTCTGGTCTTTCACAGTTTATGACACTCAGGAGATCAGCGGAGAACATGTTCAGCCCTTCACTGGAGATCTGTGTTCTCCCTCCAGATTCTCCAGCCCAGAGCTGGAGAATCAGAGGGACCGCAAACTAAGCAGAGATAATTTACCTCTGCTTAGTAAACTGATCTTTTTACTGTAATCTCAAGAGATTATAGTAAAATCAGCTGTTTTCCAGCGTTTGTAGACCGTTCTCCAGCATTTGTAGACCGTTCTCCCTTCGTTGGGAGAACTGCTTCATAAAAGGCATTCACAGGAGAACTGTGTTCTCCGAGAATGCCGGAGAACTGAGCAGCGATCTATTACCGCTGGTTCATAAACGGACACCTTAGTGTTGTCCTCAGGTGAAGTCCCCCTTCCAGTTTGTGTTGCTATTTTTTTTTTGTTTTTTTTTTAGAAAGTTTGTTAGTCATTCCCACATGGGTGTGATGTCATTAGATAATGTCCATTTGTGCTTCCTCAATAAAATGTAATTCAAAGAAAGGGAACAGCAGAGAGTTGACCACATCAGCCTGTTGCTGCTTCTTAATTGTCCATTTACAGGTCGGGTAAGTAAGTGGTCCTGTTTAACTGCAGTGGAGAAAAGTCAGGTCCTCAGACTTGCTCTGCTGTTTGTAAGGGCTGTGTTGTCCTCAGGATTGGATGGACAAAAATATAAAACATTAAGAAGGTAAAACAGCTGCAATGTATTTATTTTAGCTGTGTTTTTAGTTGCCTGCCCACAGTTCAGTGTTAACAGTTGAAAGTCTCACGTCTCATTAATTGTTAATTTAACGCATGAAAGATATTTTTTCACCACTTACAGTGTCTTCCCTTTCTTCCTTCCTCTATAGACACCTCACTGGAACTTTGTTATCCAGGAGCTAATTGTATTTTAAAGAGTAATAATATGTGTGAAATATGTCTGTTAATTTACTTTTATAAAAGTGCCTAAAAATCAATAAAAGTACTTATTTGGGAGATATTAACTTGTTCCATGTGATAATGCTTTTAATATAATGAATAATCCCTTTTCAGTCTTGGAAAAAGTCAATAATGCTTGGTAATAACAGTGCTGATAATGTTACATTTTTGTGGACTGAGCCTTATGTTTACACCCTTTACAGCCCCAATCCAACTTTTATTTTGTATTGGATAGAGTATTAACCCATGCTCTTCTATCAGGTTTTTTAATGACCTGATCCTCCAATTGGGACAAGAACCTGCCCCCCCCAAAAAAAAAAAAAACAACACAGTTACATGATGTAACAATAGGTGTAGCCAGGGGCGGACTGACAACTCATGGGGCCCCCGGGCAATAGGGGATCAAGGGGCCCCTGTGTCCTTGCCCAAACTCAAAAAAGCCTATGAAAAAGGTACCAGGAGCATCTCATGGGCCCCCTACTAACCCCGGGCCATGCCCGAGTTTCCAAATGGTCAGTCCACCCCTGACCCCCTGCAGATGCTATGAGACCTGGAAGTTGAGGCAATTTACACATAGAAAATCTGTTTGCATTTGTAAATAACACATATTTATCAGTGTATCATTGAAGATTGCCAAACCAAATGCTGAAAACTGATAGGTTGTATTATTAAATAGAGAGATCTACTGAGAACCAGGTATTTAAATGAAAATTTATGTTAAAAATTCTCTACACTGCTGCCTTATTTTTCTGACAACTTCTGTCCACAGCTCTGGCCCCTAGAAATGTACTAGCTGTACTGACAGCTCTCCTGCTAACTGCCCTTGATTTAGACAAACTTTAATTGAAGATCAATGACAGTAGGGAGGTCATCAAAATTTTGCTATGGGGTCCCTGATCTGTAGTTATGAACCAGTGACAGCTTCTCCCCCTTTTTTTCCTGGTGTCACAAGGAGAGGGAGTGATGAAAAATCTCCCAAATGGAATCACAGACAGAAAAATAAGAACCTAAAGGTCAGAAGAAGGACAGAACAGCAGGAAGCACATTTCAAAGATTCACTAAAGATCTGTGTAAATCAGATTAAAATCCACCAAATCCATATATGTCTGTGTTTGTCACTTTGATATAGGGTCCCATGTGTCCTCAAAACATTGGTGGATTTAAGTCTGATATACAGTTGCAAGAAAAAGTATGTGAAACCCCTTGGGATTACGTGGAGTTTTGCATGAATTGGGCATAAAATGTGCTCTGAACGTCATCTAAGTCACAACAATAGAAGAACACAGTCTGCTGAACATCATACTACACAAACATTAGATGTTGCCATGGTTTAATTGCACATAACATGTAAAGGTACATGTGAACATGGAGAAAATGGATCTACGCATTTCACCCAAAAAGAGCTTCCTCAGGATCCACTTTCTTTTTTCAATCTTTATGATATTGTAGCTGGTAGACAATACAATCAATAAATTATTACATGATCAACAATACAGTTATTATTACAATATATCATATCAGAAGGAACCCATCAATATGTGAAGCTCCACTATGAGGTTGCCGAAAGGAAAGAAAAAGACATAGAAGAAAAAAAAAACACATATTAAAAAAAACTGAACTGATCCCAAGAAGAAATCCAGGGTCTACAATCTAAAGTGATGATCAACACTTACTCAAAATTAGAACATAAGTTCTCGCAGAACTGTAGAGAGATATGATATCCAGCCAGCCAAGGATGAATGTTCACAAGATAGGCAGCGAACCTTACACATATAGACAGGGATGTATTTATCACAAGGCAAACAAGGCATTTGCCTAGGGCGGCATTTTTCAGGGGGGGCAGCACTGACATTCAGAAGGAGGGATGGAAGAAGGGACACACGGCATGGGGACCTAGTGGGTTCCAAGAGAGGTTGTGGGTTTCATGACGGTGTATGCACAGCCCGACTCTCATTCTTGGGGATGTCTGGAGCTGTGAAGGTGAGTGTCTCTCTCTCGCCATGCGGGTGGTGGCTGGTGTTTGGGGGAGGGGTAGTGGAAGGCTCTCTCGGGTGGGAGTCAAGGGTGTTGTTGGTCAATGTCAGGCTCTCTCTGCGGGGGGTGCAGATTTTTGTGTTGCCTAGGGCAGCACAAAACCTAAATACACCGCTGCATATAGATGTAATAGTTAGTGCAATTAAACAACAAAGGTATATGCCAAGGTGTCTATATTGAAGTCCAACCTAAAAAAAATACTACATCAACTGTCTAAGGACACTTACCAGTAGAGGTAGCCTTGCTGAAAGGGCCAGCTCATATCAAGATGTAAAGGGAATGGTCAGACCAGTAACAAAACAACACTAACCATGTGACATCAGTTAAGTGAAGACCCATTCAACTGTGGACCAAGGGACCAAGGGAGAGAAATCCAATCAAAGAGGGTCAAATATCAATAGAAATGAAACCCAAAGTTGGACATAAATGATTACCCATAAAGTCCAAGAAGTAAAGATTACAATAATATAATGGTCAAACATACACATATCCCTTAGCCAGCTTACCTAAACTGAACTGAAGAGAGTAATACTGGACCGATGCACAAACGAACTGAACACAAATCCCAAAATGGAGGTGCCATGTGGCAATGGTGTACATCCGCCTTTTAAGATTGAAAATGGCTTCGCCGCGCCTTACATTCTCCAAGTCCCACAAACCAGCTGCCAAGACAAGCGACAGAAAGAAAACTGCAAGGAAGAATCTATACTTTTCTACAAAAGGCATGTTGTAATTTAATGTTATTAAAATGTTATTAAATTACAGTGTTTTTAAAATATTTGGTGGGATACTCCACAAGGGTTAAATCATTTTAAAGGGATACAGACATTAAAGCTTATTGCATTAGAATACTGTGAGTGCACCAGGTGATTATAAAAAACCAAGACCTCGCATTCAGAATCAGTGTGCACAGGACATGGTGAAGCAAACAGCTATTTTTTTCAGAGCAGCATCAGTGCAATGTGCATTGACCACCCAGTGGAGGTGGCCAGTGGGGCCAATGGGGATGGCCAGTTAAGATGGCTATACATAGTATATAAAAATTGGTCAGCACACAAAAGAACATGTAATCAACCAATAAACCATGGCATCTAAGGCATTTAAAACAAGTCCATAATAAACTAATAGTGCATGTGTCCTGTTGTATATGGCACAAAGTGGCAGCCTTCCCAGAGTGAGCCAACTCTAAGGATAAAGGAAGAAGGAAGGGGAGGGAAAAAAGCGCCTACTAAATGCAGTATGCAAGACAATTTTAATAAACTCCAGTTAACCACATCCCATCCAGCCCGTGTAGATAAACGGCTGGACGAGAGTGCTGCCGATACAGGTGGAAGTTTCTAAGCGTAAATAGATGCGCTATTGCCTGTGCACGCTCCCTGGGAGCGCGCGGCACCACGATTGGTACCCGCTGTGATCGCTGTACGGGACCTCTGTGTGAGGTTCAGATTCTTGTGATCACTGATTGGCTATTCAGTGATCACATGAATAGTAGTAAACAAGATATCACTTCCTGACATCATTGCTTACTACTTGTGAAATCTGTGAATGATCACAGACGTCACATGGTACAAGGCTATTCACACCAGCCTTGTACCATGTGACAAGCTGTGACCAATCACAGCTCTCACAGTGTTTCTCAATGGCTGCAGGAATACAACCAGAGAGAAGGAGAAATTATTTCTTTTACAGCCTTTATGGGTGTAAAAGCAATCAGTATAAAGAAAAAAAAATCTTTATTACCCCCCCAAGTAATAGTGTCACTATGTTGACACTATACTGCTAGGGTGACAGTATGTTAAAAAAACATAAATAATAATAATATAAAAAAATAAAATAAAAATGTAAAAAATGTTTTTGAAAAATTATAATTTTTGGTTATAAACTAATTTGGGTTATTTTTTTTAACTAAAAGGATAGCTGAATACATTTTGGGCAGATTTATGAAGAAAGAGTATTTATTTTCAAAATTTTATAAGAAAAACACTTTTTGGACTTTTTCATATATATAGAAAAAAAAAAAAACAAAACACAGTGATGAATAAATACCACCAAAATAAAGTTTTATCTGTCTCAAAAAAATGCTAAACATTTCATATGGGTACAGTGTTGCATGACCGCACAATTGTCATTCAAAGTGTGATAGCACTGAAAGCTGAAAATTGGCCTGGACTGGAAGGGGGTGAAAGTGTCCAGACTTGAAGTGGTTAAAACACTTACAAGATTACACGTATAAAACGGCTCGCAAAAAAAAAAAAGAAGGGTGCACCGCCAGATTGCACAGCCTAAGCACCCCTGATGCTGAGATGCAACTGCTGTTGATGGAAGACGAGCCTCAAGCCTCTGCAGCCAGACCCTAGAAGTTCCTAAAACCAGCGTAGAACTCACTCATCGGGCAGACGTGACGTCATCGGCGGGGAAGGCACGGCACCACAGGGAAACATGTGCTCAGAGCCCACAGCTCCTTCAAAAGGCCTAGCTGCCGTGGCTTGAGGATCCTCTTCCATCACAGGGGCGGACTGACAACTCATGGGGCCCCCGGGCAATAGGGGATCATGGGGCTCCTGTGTCCTTGCGCAAACTCAAAAAGCCTATGCAAAAGGTACCAGGGGCATCTCATGGGGCCCCCTACTGACCCCAGGCCCTCGGGCAGTGCCCGAGTTTCCAAATGGTCAGTCTGCCCCTGATCCATCAACAGCGATTGCATCTCAGAATCAGGGGACGCTTGAGCTGTGGATTCTGGCGGTGCACCTTCATTTGTATTCACGGGCCGTTTTACACTTGTAATCTTGTAAGTGTTTTTACTGGAGTCTATTAAAATTGTCAACTGCACTTAGTAGGCACTTTTTTCCCTCCCCTCCCTTCTTCCTTTATCCTTAAAGATGGCTATATACTAGCAGATATTTTGAAAGAACATTCATTCAAACATTCTCTTAATATAACTACAATCAGCACTAGAGATGAGCGAATTATTCAAAAATTCAATTCGGCTGATTCGCCGAATTTGCGGAATAAATTCGATTCGATGCGAATTTATTCGCTGCGAATTTAACTTATTAAAAGGGTTTCTAGGCTTCAGAGAGCCTTTATATTAGTGCAGAACACTGTACCTTTAATTTAAATGCCCTTGGAGTCTGCTGGGGAAGAGAAATAATACTGTCAGTCAGTATGACATGCAGATGAGTGCCGTCGATCTTAGAATCACCGCACACTTCACTCATTTGGGCAGTCACGGGGCCAAAACCAGAGTGTGGAGCCACAGTGTGGCGGTGGAGGCAGCAGCAATGGGAGGCCATACAGCACCCTATGACAAAATGGAACCCACCAGCAGTGTGAGGAGACCTGAAAGTGGCACATGGCAGAGTGTGGCGATGGAGACAGCAGCAATGGGAGGCCGTACAGGGACCCATGAGAGACTCTGGACCTGGCAGCAGCATGAGGAGGCGGTACAGGGGCCCATGACAGATTACGGGCCTGGCAGCAGCATGAGGAGTCGGTACGGGGGCCCATGGCAGATTACGGGCCTGGCAGCAGCAATGGGAGGCCATACAGCACCCTATGACAAAATGGAACCCACCAGCAGTGTGAGGAGACCTGAAAGTGGCACATGGCAGAGTGTGGCGATGGAGACAGCAGCAATGGGAGGCCGTACAGGGACCCATGACACACTCTGGACCTGGCAGCAGCATGAGGAGGCGGTACAGGGGCCCATGGCAGAGTGGCGAAGCGTAAGCAGCTTAAATTGAAGGCCATACAGAGGCCTATGTTAAAAAGTCCCCCCAGCAGCAGTGTGGGGAGACGACTATCAAGAGTCCAATGGCAGAGTGGCGGAGCAGAAGCAGCTTCAATTGAAGAAGAAGAGGATGAGGATGAAGAAGAAGAAGAAGAAGAAGAGGATGAGGATGAAGAAGAAGAAGAAGAAGAGGATGAGGAAGAAGAAGAAGAAGAAGAAGAAGAAGAAGAAGAGGATGAGGATGAAGAAGAAGAAGAAGAAGAGAGGATGAGGATGAAGAAGAAGAAGAAGAAGAAGAGGATGAGGATGAAGAAGAAGATGAGGATGATGAAGAAGAAGAAGAAGCAGAAGAGGATGAGGATGAAGAAGAAGAAGAAGAAGAAGAGGATGAGGAAGAAGAAGAAGAGGATGAGGATGAAGAAGAAGAAGAAAAAAAAGAAGAAGAAGAGGATGAGGATAAAGAAGAAGAAGATGAGGATGAAGAAGAAGAAGAGGATGAGGATGAGGATGAAGAAGAAGAAGAAGAGGATGAGGATGAAGAAGAGGATGAGGATGAGGAAGAAGAAGAAGAAGAGGATGAGGATGAGTAAGAAGAAGAAGAAGAAGAAGAAGAAGAGGATGATGAGGATGAGGATGAAGAAGAAGAAGAAGAAGAAGAGGATGAGGATGAAGAAGAAGAAAAAGAAGAAGATGAGGATGAAGAAGAAGAAGAAGAAGAGGATGAGGAAGAAGAAGAAGAAGAAGAGGATGAGGATGAGGAAGAAGAAGAAGAGGATGAGGATGAAGAAGAAGAAGAAGAAGAAGAGGATGAGGATGATGAAGAAGAAGAAGAAGATGAGGATGAAGAAGAAGAAGAAGAGGATGAGGATGAAGAAGAAGAAGAAGAGGATGAGGATGAAGAAGAAGAGGATGAGGATGAAGAAGAAGAAGAAGAGGATGAGGATGAGGAAGAAGAAGATGAGGATGAAGAAGAAGAAGAAGAAGAAGAAGAGGATGAGAATGAGGATGAAGAAGAAGAAGAAGAAGAAGATGAGGATGAAGAAGAAGAAGAAGAGGATGAGGATGAAGAAGAAGAAGAAGAAGAAGAAGAGGATGAGGATGAAGAAGAAGAAGAAGAAGAAGAAGAAGAGGAGGATGAGGAAGAAGAAGAAGAGGATGAGGATGAAGAAGAAGAAGAAGAGGATGAGGATGAAGAAGAAGAAGAAGAAGAGGATGAAGAAGAAGAGGATGAGGATGATGAAGAAGAAGAGGATGAGGATGATGATGAAGAAGAAGAAGAAGAAGAGGATGAGGATGAGGATGAAGAAGAAGAAGACGAGGATGAGGATGAAGAAGAGGATGAGGATGAAGAAGAAGAAGAGGATGATGGTGAGGAAGAAGAAGAAGAAGAAGAGGATGAGGATGATGATGATGAAGAAGAAGAAGAAGAAGAGGAGGATGAGGATGAAGAAGAAGAAGGAGAAGAGGATGAGGATGATGAAGAAGAAGAGGATGAGGATGAAGAAGAAGAGAATGAGGATGAAGAAGAGAGGATGAGGATGAAGAAAGAAGAAGAAGAAGAGGAAGAGGATGAGGATGAAGAAGAAGAAGAAGAAGAGGATGAGGATGAAGAAGAAGAGGATGAGGATGAGGATGAAGAAGAAGAAGAAGGAGAAGAAGAAGTAGGATGAAAATAAGAAGAATTCCAGTACAGCAAAAAGTGTATCTGCAGAGAGCTCCGCTATTTCTGACAGTTCTCTGACAGTTCCTTCACATTTACAGCGGTTTGAAACATTGTATCTATTTGTTTCCGAATAAAAACATCTGTATCCTAAATGGAAACAAATAGATACAATGTTTCAACCGCTGTAAATGTGAAGGAACTGTCAGAGAACTGTCATAAATAGCGGAGCTCTCTGCAGGGACACTTTTTGCCGGCTGTAGAAGGGATGAAAATCGGCCGATCGGGGAAAATTCGATTCGTGCATCCGAAGTTTGCTAATTTTCGGATTCGGCGCGAATCAAATTTTTCCTAATATTCGAAACGAATTCCACTTCGCCAAGTTCGATTCGCTCATCTCTAATCAGCACTCTCTCACTCAGTGGAACCTCAAGGTTAGTAGTTTCAGCTCTCTATACCATAAAATCCCTCAAATGACCAGGAACACAATCTGACAATTGTCTCAATCAACATACATATACTAAAAATCTTCTGTATGAAACATATGATGCACTTAGAACAGATAGCACCAAACATTGATAGATCTCTAAATCAATAATCCTAAAAGCTGTTGTGAGGAGCAAACTTGTATTCAAAGGTATCATTCTGTGTGCACATCAGATAGGTTATCCTTTGGGGAAATACAACAAATAATGTCTCTGTCAGTTCAAATACCCAGGGATGCTCAGTACACTGCTGCTTTGCTCACATGCATTTTTTAGTTTGGGTTCATACGAAAATTCTCTGATGACTTAATGAATACAGTTCGAAAGTACTTCAAAATTTACTTTGCTTTTAAAATTGGATTTTGGAACTAATCAATTTTCCTGAAATTTCCCTCCTGCTCTCTGAAATTTTCCTGTCACTGTAGTTGGAAATTAACTTTGATTTTACCCCACTAATGATTAGAAAATTGAAGGAACAGTCTTAACACAAAATATTTCAAATGAAACTCTACTAGTATATGGCTGACTTTGAACTTTAAACATATTACTTTATAAAGACTTTAATATTACAAGATAAAGTTGCAGTATCAAATCAATATTCAAAGAAAACATTTATTTATAATAATATTTATTATTCCAGCACAAACACTACTTAGCCCTTAGCAAACTTCACAGTGTGTATTTTCATATTATACCTTAAAATCTTCAGTGAGAACCATATACAATTCATATTTCAAAAGGGGTAGAAGTTTAAGGAAAGATTTAATCCTCATCCATCTGGAAAACCAAAAGATTCTTTATGGTCCAAGAACTAAAACAAAGCAGGTTTCCAGCATCCCAACGCAGGGGTAAACCCACCAATGAATGCAAAGCATGACACCCACAAGGTGTTCATTCAGAAGCCCAAGCTAAAGTTTCTGAACACAAAACAAGCATGGACTGTCTCCCACCTAGAAGGCCAGATTCAACAAACTCCTTACCCAAGTGAAGCTCTAAGTCAGTCGAGTATTTCAAAAGGTGTAGAAATTTAAGGAATATCATTTTTTTTAAATTATGTGACAATGAAATGCCCTTGTCTAAAGATTTTTCCAACAACATCAGCAATATCCCATTAGTCAAATCTATACCACCACCTGGTCTGCCACCAGGCTGTGTCATCAAGGCTGATAACTCTGGCACCCACCTAAATGGAAAAAAAATCACTTCTATTTGCAGACTGGTTCTTCCAAATATTGCCAATTTAGGCCTTGTACTTCCAGCATCCCCGATACCACCAGTTTACCCCAACCTAAATCCAGGTTATCCAACAGCAAACAGGTGGAAATGGCAACTTTATCAGAGAATTGTATACCATCAAAGAGAGTGGAATGGGAGAAGGAGAGTAATTGAAGTTAGGCTACAAACTTACTGTGTGAATTCATCCACCAGATTCTGCACCTTATTTCACAAAGATGACATCCAATAACACCAGAAACAGCTGAAACACTTCAATACCTTAAGAATATTTATTTGTCACGTAAATAGTTCAGAAATAATCTTTTTCAGAATACAGTTAATGATAACCAACATTTTAATGCTTGTGTTTTCAATGCATTTTTAGTTTCTTTGGCTCTTTATGAACCTGTTGGGTCTGTACGCTCTGACATGGCGATTACTCCACTATCTGAACTCCTAAAATATTATTATTATGGATCATAGCTACATCTTTGTGGAAGCAGAAAAAGCCATTTTAAACTGTAGGTATCAGAAAAAAATCTACCCTTGCAGTGGGGCCTCCACACACTGCAAGAGTTAAGTACTTTTTTATGTCTATGGGGTAGAGGAACAGGCTTTATTACTTATCATATCCCCTGTTCTGGCTGTTTTCAGCATTGCCCTCTTCTCCCCGAAGCTCCCATCTGTAGCCAGTCCCTTGAGCAGCATCATGTACAATGCAGAGCTATAAAACCTGCCTTTGTACACGTAGAGGGTGAATGTGCGACCATGGCTGTGAGCGACTTAAAGTGGAGGCTGCAGGAGATTAGTTGCACTGTGAACATTTACTTGGGGGAGGAAGGAGGTGCCCACAACAAGGGTGTTTTTTTTGTTGTACCCAAAATTGGACTTTAAGGGAGGCAAAAACAGGTCTGGGAACTTTCAATTGCATTGATTTTATCAAAGGTGTGGTTTATTTTCATTTCACAGAGTCAATGTAGCTTTCATTTATACTTGCATTGCAGGCTCACATGAGCACAGGGATATAAGTTTAGATGTGTGCCTGTTTCCTTACCATGCATAGATGCAAATGGGGTCTCCTTTAACTCTGTTTCCTAAAATCCTCTGGGCTCCCACAAGCCATTGGTCTCCTGGACAGGTCCAGGGGTGTGTAAATTGTTCTCTCTCCTATACCCTGGTGCCCAGACAGATATATCTGATGTGACAGCAGTGCCTGGACATGTAAGCTCTCACCAGGTGACTAGCCCTCCTATGTTTATCCAGGCGTGCGGGCCTCCTGGTTTTGCACACAGGAGCATACAGTTTCCTTCCCCAGTCACAGGCGGTGTCAGATGTGTCCTACTAATGTGGACAAAGGAAAGTATATGTCAAAAATTTTGCCTGAAAAATGAAATAAACCTAAAATAGAAATGAATGTGATCAGCTCCCTAAGCAATGCAATGCAGTAAGCAAAGTAGCAAGTAAAACAAAATATCATGTTGGAGCAAAAAAAAGAAGTTTATGTATGGGTATTCATAATGGAACCTATTCAGGGGCAGTAGGGTATGAATCTGTGTGTATATGCTGGCTGTGGTCATAATGGCCATATCTGCTATTGTAAACTGTGATACCCCACACAGTGTGTGCTATGGCTTTTTTTTCTTGCTTTTACTTTTTTGTACAATTGCTTTTAATCCAACAAAAAAGAGCATTTCCTGGTCAAATAACAGATATTATACATACATCTGTGGCAGCCCATGTCTCCTGTCTTTGTTCTGTTGAAGCACTGCAGCCTCCATCACAATCTTCATCATACAACATTTCTGGGAGTGTCAGATCTCAACAGACCTCAACACAATGACGGTGTCCTCCACTGACATGGGGCCAGAGGATGGGACAACAATGCACAGCAGGGGTCAAAGACATGTGATACTCCTGGAAGTGCTGACAATTTGTTAGTAGAATTAGTCATTTTGTATGACTGGACACTCTGTGACTGTCTACGAGCGCTGTCATAAATATATATAATCTACACTGCACATCATGATAGGGTAATTCACTAATGAGTGTTTGAAAGCCACCAGAAGAATAGTGACAGTATATACAAGCTTGCATTCTCTACAAACATACATTAAAAAAACCTTGTGTTGCCCCAAAATCTTAGTTTATCAAAAATGGTATATCGATTTAAATGGAAGACCCCTGTGAAGTGTGAACAACCTCTGGAGAATGCATGACTGTACTGGCTGTCTGTGTGCGGTCCTGCCTGTCTGCT